AATTATAAAGAGGAAAAATAAAATGAAAGTGAAATATTAGTTTATAACATGATCAAAAAGAAAAAAAAATGATATTTCATAAATTGAATCAAATGCTTTTAATCCAAATTTGAGTATTGAAAGATAATAATTAAAAAAGAAAATAATTATAATATTTTTTTTAAAATCAATTAAAAAAATAATAAAATATCACAATATGAATAAAAATCAACAAAACAAAATTATAAACCTCCCGCGCGGAGCACGGGTCAACTGCTAATATTCAATAAAACTAACTTAATTTAAGAGAAAAAAATAAAAGCCAAATAAATTATTTAACCCAATAAAACATGAAACTAAAATACTTTAAAGTATATCATAGAGTCAAAATTTAATATATATTTTGATGATTTCAAAATCATGATACTTATATATATTTAGTTTTAGCTTTGTTCAGTTCTGACATATATAAATAAGAGAAAATATTATAGATAAAAAATTTAAAAGTAACAAGTAAAACTAGTAAGTAAATATGAAAACTATAACATTAATCAAATCTTTTAATCAAACTAAAATACTAAAAAAAAAATGAAAATATATTTGGTAAGGGCTTTTCGGGCCGGTCCGAGCCCGACCTGGCTAAGCCCAAAAAATCCTTTAGCCCGAATGGGCTTAGCCCAAAAAGCCCGATTTTTCAGAGCCGGGCCAAACTAGCCCACGCTTTAGCCCTAATTGACATGCTACATAGAGTATCATTCTAAAGTTTTTTTATAATAACAAATGTCATTTTATATTTTTAATATTTTTTGACACTAAATTTCCAAATTTTACCATGAAGCTATTAGTAATTAAATTATTAAACACTTATCAAATAAGAAAATATATGTATAAGTAAGTGTTTTTATAATTTGTGTAAAACATATAAAACTGACATTATTTGTGAAATATATTATTTTTTACTCGTTTAAGAAAAGCTGACTCTTTTAAAGTAAATAAAGAGTTACACCAAAAAAATTACTGACACGTATAATAAAATAAATTTTCATTTTAACATAGGCCTTCCAAATTTTTGACATTCTTCTTCATAATTATTATTTTTTTCTTATGAGATGACTTTAACTTTTTCCGTGGCTTGAATATATTAGAGTAATATGATTATTAAAAAATAAATACAGGTAAAGTGGTGCTACTTGGACTATTATATGTAATGAATGAAAGAATATTGCTGAATAAGCTGAGTGATTTATAGTTTAGGTGTGACGATTAGTGTAAAGAAAATATTGTTAGCATTAAAGGGGGTATCTATATTAACATTTTTGAAATACCTTTTGGAAAATAACCTTTTATTTTGTATTATTTGCATAATAAATCCGTGACATTTAAATAAATAACAAACTTTTAAGATAAAATTTGTAATTAAATTACACTAGAATCACAAAATTAGAAACTAATATTTATTACATTTAACAAAATTTCCTAAAATATCTCCCTAATAAATTGAATATCTCTCCAATATCTTTATATGATCTTATTTGTTTTAAAATTTACATTATTACATAAACCATAAGTATAATAAAAATACAAAAAACAATTCGCATATGTAGCAATTTGAATTTTTGAAAACGGATGTATATTACTCAATCGATAAAAGAAAAAACATATATGTATAACGTCCCATATCGGGTAGAAAATTTTAGACAATGGTTCGGAACCATTATAAATATGACTAATATGAAACTTAAAAATCTAAAATCTTGAATGAAAGATTACAACAAAAAAGTTTTACTAAATTTTAGGGAATCCAAAATTTTAAAATCTTGATTGGTTAAAAATGAGTTTTTAGAAAACAATAACCAAAATCTCTCTTGAAATCTATAAAACATTCAAGGTTTATATTTTACATAAATATGATTTAATGGGTTTATGTTTTATGTTTTTCTTACGGGTTATCTTGCGGGTTAACAAAAAAAAAAAACAAATATAACTTAAACATAATTTTTTTAGTCCCGCGAGTTACAAAAAATATCCCGCGAGTTACAAAAAATATCTCGCGAGTTAAGTAATAAAAATAACAATCAAAAATACAATTACACAATCTTAAACACTAAAAGGGTAATAAAATTAACAAATATAACTTAAATATATATATTTTTTAGTCAAAACAATCGTACCGCGGTGTACCGCGGGTTAAAACCTAGTTAAATTAAATAATTCATATTTATTTTAATTAGCGAAATCTAGATTTGTTAATTAATGTAAAAAGTTTTGTTTTGTAAATTGTAACTTTATAGATCCTAATTATGCTATTTTTTTGTGAGGAGTATTGTGAGAGTAGCCCATCAGCTTTTACTCTAAAAAATGTTTTAACTTTTTGTATAAAAACACTTATAGTTATATTAGCATATTAGAAAAGAAAAACCCATAACTTAACAAACAACAACTAAGCGGTGCGTTTTGATTAAGTAATGTCATTTTCTTGCGACATATTTCCTTTTTTCTTATAACACTAAACTTAAGAATTTCCTTTTTTTTAATAATAAAACTAAACTTAACAATTACCTTTTTCGTAGTAAAACCAAATTTAACAATTTCCTTTTTTCTTTATAACATTAATTACTAAACGTAAAAGAATTTCCTTTTTTCAAACTTAACAATTTCCTTTTTTCCTTTTTATATAACAAATTTAGAAAAAGGAAAATTTCCATTGCTTTATTTTAGTCGACATCTCTCTGTTTATAAATAGAGACAGATTACTCTCACTTTATTCATCTTTGAGAAATCAAAATTAGAACACATTCTCCTCAGAGAGTGAGAGACATAGCCGAGAGAGAGAGAGAGAGCGTTCGATTCTAATGGCGACGAGAGGGAATTCATAGATGAACGCGTTGAGGTGTCTTCTCGTGTTCTTCTTCTTACCCTATGATACGATTTGATTTTCGTGTGAATGTTTTTGCTTTTGAAATAAAGAGTTTCTTTCTCACAGGTTTCATGGCGACGAGATAACTTTCGATTCTAATGGCGACGAGATAGCTAAACGAGTCAGATATATCTTTCTAACCCTATGAATCGATTTCGCTTTTGAAATAATTTTTTCGTATTTGTATTACTGGTTAACGGGTTTGTTGTCTCTTTGGCTGAATCGAAACAGGTGTATGTTCGTGTTCAAACTCGGATGTTTACAAGGACAAAGGTGATTCAGAACAAAAACGGTAGTCGGCTTTCTTACAGTAAGTAACAACATCAAACTTATCGATGAGAAGGTAATCTAGGTCTTTCTTTCCTTGTCTACTTCCATAAAAGAGACTCGAACTTGCTTCTTAATGGGTTTGTTTGTTTGTTTTTTTTCTTTTGGGTGAAACAGGTGTGTGTTCGTGTTACTCAGATTAATGTTTTGAAAGATGATGAAGTAGAGTAATGTGTTCTTACAGTAACAACATCAAACTGATCGATTAAAAGGTATAAATAGGTCTTTGTCTTGACTCTGCACCTCCTCTTCTCTTGTCCGTTTCCTCAAATTTGCGGTTATCTTTGTTTTCAATTTTAGATGGGAATGTGACTCTGTTATTTTAATTTAGACTTCTAATTGTATATTTTTGTGCAGATATGATATGGTTTGAAGAATGAAGAAGATTCAGAACAAAAGGTGGTGTTGATGTTTTGCCTTTGAAATGAGAGTTTTTTTTTGAATATTGGATCTTAATTAATGCGTTTGTTGTTTCTTTTGAAATAAGAGTGTGTGTGTGTGTTTGTGTTCGTGTTCCAACTAGGACGATGACTCAGATTTAGATTCAGAACACAAAAAGGTCGTCGACGTGTTCTTATAGTAACAACATCTTGTTTGCTTCCTCGAATTTGTTTTCGTTTATATTGTTGTTTTAACAAAGCTTATCTAATTTTATATTTTTGTGCAGATTGAAGATATGTAATGTTTTGAAGAATGAAGAAGATTCAGATGCAAAGAAAAACAAACTTCACCGTAAGGTAACAACGTCTTTTTGATATTTTTTCATTGTTTTCTTTGTTGCTTCTTTAGATGATGCAGATATACATGAAGTTCACTTCTTCCTTTGTATAATTATAGGGATGACCGGCCCAAGTCAACAACAACACAACAGTGGGAAAAATCCTCTGTAAGTAAACACTTCTATTAAGATCTTATTATGATTTTATTTCTTTCTGTTTTATCACTTAACCAATAATACTCTCTTTTCTTTTTCTTTTGTGTTTTATATAACTTATCACCATCACATTTTCTTCTCTACTTTCAGAATCCAGGCACTGTTGATGAATATTATTTGTTGGAAGTATTGTTTTCGTGTCTCTCAGTGATGGATATTCAGAGGACATGGCGTTTCTTCTTCAACTCTCATCGGACTTGACAAGAAACTCCACAATGAAAAAAGGTAAAGTCAGTGTGTTTCTTCAACTCTCATCTGAATGTTTTGCTTTATTTAATATGAATATTGTTTTGTATTCATGATCTTGATGATGGAGAATTTTTTGTTTTGTTGTATACGTTATTCACTTTCTTCTCATTATTATTATAAGGGAGGATGTTGAATTATGGACCCAATCGATGGAGATATATGCAGTAAGTCATCTCAAATTCCTCTATACTCTTCTTTATTTTCTTCTGTTTCAAGTTTATCTATCTCCATTAACCAATCTCTTTTTGTTTTTGTTTTTGTGTTTGTTGAACAACAAGTTGCTATTGAAGTGGAACTCGACAAGGCACCAAAATTCAAAGCAAAACTTGTGAACAAAACGGTACTTGTCATTGCCTCATGCCAACCATTTTCCTTTCCACAGGTTAGAAACAATCGAGGTACTCTCTGATACCTTTTAACTTTTCTCTTTTTTGATTAACTTCTAGGATGGTGATGTTTTCTTAAAAGCGGGTTCTTAAGGAGATAAGTTTTTGGACCTTAAGAAGCTGCAAAACTGCTAGAAAGATGGTTAATCTACTGAGGAACCCATATGTACTCATGCCAAAACACCAGTCACAGATGTCTCAAGACAATGGCAGTTAACAGAACATGCTGAAAAGGTAGCTCACATTCTTAATTAATAACCATTCTGATATCTAAATCTTAGTTCACCTTCCTCTTGTGCGTTTATTTTCTCATTGCAGCGAAAAGAGTGTCAAAACATAGCTAGCTCTACCAAACTGAATTAGGAAAATATAAACTAGAGGTACTCTCTGATTCCACAGGTAATAAACTACCAAGGTACTCTCCAATTCGTTTGAACTTTTCTTATATTTTATTATTATTTGGGTGAAACGAAACAGGTGTGCGTCTGTGTTCGTGTTCCAACTTCCAACTAGGACGATGACTCAGATTTTTTCAAAGAAGTACGAAGTAGATTCAGAACAAAACCGGTCAACAGCGTGTTCTTATAGTTACAACATCAAACTGATTGGTTAAAAGGTATATATAGGTTGTCTTGTACGCTTCCTCGAATTTTCTTTTGTTTCAATTTAAGATGAGAATGTGACTGCGATTTTGTTTTCACTGAGATTGTTGTTTTAACAAAGTTTCTTCTAATTTAATAATTTTGTGCAGATCGGAGATATGCTATGTTTTGAAGAATGAAGAAGATTCAGAACCAAACAAAAACAAATTTCTCCTTACGGTAACAACTTCAAAGTGAGTTTTTTTTCATTGTTTTCTTTGTTGTTTCTCTAGATGATGGAGATATACATATAGTTCACTCTTTCTTCACATGTATAATTTTAGAGATGACCTGGCCAAGTCAACAACAACAAAAACAATGGGAAAAATTCTATGTAACTGTAAGTAAACTCTTATTAAGATCTTTTATGATTTTTCCTTCTGTTTCAAGTTTTATCACTAATCAATAATAATGATCTCTTTTTTCTTTTCTTTTGTGTGTTATATAAGTTATCACCTTCACCTTCTCTTCTCTACTCTCAGAATCCAAGCATTGTTGATGAATAGTATCTGTTGGAAGTATTGTTTTTGTGTCTTTTCAAGTGATGGATGTTTAGAGGACATGGCGTTTTTTCTTCAACTTTCATATGATTTGACGAGAAAGTCCACAAAGAAAAAGGTAAAATAATCTTGGGGTTTACTCTGTGTTTCTTCAACTCTCTCATCTGAATGTTTTGCTTTCTTAAATATAATTTTTGTTTGCATATATGATCTTGATGGTGATGGAGATTTTTTGGTTTTGTTGTTGCTGCTTCTCTAGATGATGGAGATATATGGAGATTTACGTTCTACTCATAATTATTATTAGGGATGATGCTGAATTAAGGACCCAATCGATGAAGATATATGTTGTAAGTCATCTCAAATTCTTCTCTGTGTTTCTATATTTTCTTTAGTTTCAAGTTTATCTATCTCCCTCAACCAATATTGTTTTGTTTTTTTGTTCAAGGACATACGAAGTAAATTCAGAACAAAAACGGGGGCTGGTGTGTTCTTACAATAACAACATCAAACTGATTGGTTAAAAGGTATAGATAGGTTGTCTTGTCCTCTCCCTCAAATTTTTTTTTTTCAATTTTAGATGTGAATGTGACTGAGATTTTGTTTTCACTAAGACTAACAGTTTTAGCGACGTTTTCTCTAATGCTATATTTTGTGCAGATAGGAGATATGCTATGTTTTGAAGAATGAAGAAGATCCAAAACCAAACAAAGACGAATTTCGCCTTATGGTAACAACGTCAGTTTTTCATTGTTTTCTTTGTTGCTTCTCTAGATGATAGATACATATAGTTCACTCTTTCTTCGCATGCATAATTTTAGGGATGACCGGCCCAAGTAAAAAACAACAACAATGGGAAAAATCATATGTAAGTAAACACTTATTAAGATCCTTATTATGATTTATTTCTTTCTGTTTCAAGTTCCCTTTAACTTTTGTTTTTTTTATTAACTTCCAGAATGGTGCTGTTGTCCTAGCAGATGTTTTCTCAAGGAGATAAGTCAATGGACCTTAAGAAGGTGCAAACTGCTAGAAAGATGGTTAATCTACTGAGGAATCCATCTGCACTCAAGCCAATAAACCAGTCACAACTGTCTCAAGCCAATGGCAGGTATCAGAAAATTTTGAAAAGGTAGCTCACCCTCTTAATTAATAACCAGTAACCATTTTGATACCTAAATCTGGTTTCACGTTCCTTCTTGTAATAGTGTTTTTTTTCTTCTCTTTATTGCCTCACTGCAGGGAAAAGAGTGTTAAAAACATAGCTAGCTCTGCCAAAATCATTAAGGAAAATGAAGCTATCAAAAGGCAAAGCTAGATGATGCAAAATGAAGACAAGTAAGCTAAATTGCTAAAAACTCATCATGATCTCACTACATGACTGAAACTCTTTAAACCTCATCATTTATTTTAATGTGTTGATTCTTTGACTGCAGTGAAACAAGTGTTAAAAATAACACTACCAATCTGATTCAGGAAAATCAAAGCAATCAAAAAGGCAAAAGCTAGATTATGACCTAACGATGGAAAGAGCCTCTTCTTGCACTGTAAGTGATCTCAAAATCCTATGTTTTCCAAACTTTGATATTGCGTAGACTGTAGGAATCTCTAAGAATAAGGAACTTCGTCTTTTAATTGTGATTTTTATTGAGTTTCAAGGTTTTAAGATTGATAATATGTTTAATTGGTTTTGAGGAATGGATCAAAAGAGTGAAGCTAGATGATAAACTACTGAGGTACTCTCTTGACTCCTTTTAACTTTTCTGATTTTTTTTTTCATTTATGGGTCAAAAGAAACAGGTGTGTGTCTGTGTTCGTATTCCAACAAAGACGTGACTCGGATTTTTTTCAAGGACGTACGAAGTCGATTCAGAACAAAAACGATCACCAGTGTGTTCTTACAATAACAACATCAACAACAACAACTATGAAGAAAACCATCTGTAAGTAAACACTTATTGAGATCCTGATCATGATTTTATTTCTTTCTGTTTCAAGTTTTGTCCCTTAACTTTTAATAATCTCTTTTTCTTTTTCTTTTGTGTGTTATATCTTATCACCTATTCTTCTCTTTTCTACTTTCAGAATCCAAGCATTGTTGATGAATGTTATCTGGTGAAAGTATTGTTTTCGTGTCTTTGCAAGTGACGGATGTTCAGAGGACGTTGTCTTCATGGCTCTGTAGTCATCCCAAAATTCCTATATGCCCTTCGTTACTTTGTCTTGTTTCAAATTTATCTTTCCATCAATCTTTTTTTTCTTTCTTCTGAACAACAAGAATCTACTGAAGTGGAACTCGACAAGGCACCAGATTTCAGATCAAAACTTGTGAACAAAAAAGGTACTTGTCGTTGATGTACAATTCCCAAATTATACACAATTGATGTACCCTCTGATTCATTTTAACTTTTCTCTTATCTTTCTCTTTTTTTTGATTAACTTCTAGGATGGTGTTATTTTCTCAAGGAGATTGGTGAATGGACTCTAAAAAGCTGCAAAGTACTAGAAAAATGGTTAATTTGCTGAGGAATCCGTTTGCACTCAGGCATAAAAAAAAACAGTCTCAGTTGTCTCTTGCCAATGGCAGTCATCAGAAATTTGAAAAGGTAGCTCATATGATTAATTAATAACCATTCTGATGCTTAAATCTGGTTTCATGATTCTCTTGTAATAGTGTTTTTTTTGTCTGTGTTTATTACTGCAGAGAAAAGAGTGTTGAAAACATAGCTAACTCTACCAAACTCGTTCAGAGAAATAAAGCTATCAAAAGGCAAAGCTAGATCATGCAAAATCAAGACATGTAAGCTAAATTGTTAATAATTAAGCGTGATCTTGGCTGCATGACTGAAACGTCCTCACTCCTCATCATTGATTTTAATATCTTGATTACGTTCTTTAATGTGTTGATTCATTGACTGCAGGGATACAAGTGTTAAAAAGAACACTACCAATCTGATTCAGGAAAACCAAAGCGATCAAAGAGGCAAAAGCTAGATTATGACCTAACAATGGAAAATGCCTCCTCTTGCTCTGTAAGTGATCTCAAATCCTATGTTTTCTAAAATTAAGGATTGTTTAAGACTGTATCTCTAAATTCAACATATTTTATTTTTCTGGTGTTACTTTTATTGGAGTTTCGTCGATTCGAGATTTATAATATGTTAAATTGGTTTCAGGAATGGATCAAAAGAGCGATAAAAAGCATGAGAGGAGGAGCCGAACGCAGGGGAGCTTGAGGAACATCTTAAGAAACTACAAGAAATGAATGTAGATGGTACATAATTGTGGATGAGAAGAGTGATAGAAAGCGTTTAAGGATGCATCTGTTTTTTCACAAGCACAACCTTCTAGGGCCAAGAAAGAAGAAGTTCACGACTAAGCCTTCTTTCATAAGACTCAACGCACAAAAACAAGACTGCAGGCTCCAGGTTCTTTATCACTCTTTTGTGAGGTGGTATTGCAGTTAAGTGAGTTAAAAGACCGTTGTAATATTTTCCCTTCTTGTTCTTTTAACAGTAAATCCTGGAGCCATATTGTTTCAAAATCAGCAAGCTTCACCCTAGCTCCAACTTTTTCTTGCACCACATCTGCCAGAATTTCAGGTATACCCTCTGTCAGAGATTATCATCACTTTAGAATAGACTCATAGCCCAATGAATCTGTTTGATTAATGTACAAGGATCTCACTTTCTTATTGTTGCAGGAATTTCATTTTCAAACAAAGACATCCTCAGTAGCTTCAACGGAAGTGTCTTTAGTGGAGAAACCAAAATGTAGAACTCTTGTGATTACTTTGAGAATCATGTAAAAGGCAGTAATATCGTTGCGTTGACTGCAGTAATATCTTAATGCATAAAAGATTCATCTTTTTTTGTGCAGCTTTGTTCCTAGAATCAGATCAATGAGATCATGACCATGTGAAACTTCCATGAAAGAGAAGAAGAACAAAGAAAATTTAAGGTTTTTGTTTTAGTTCAACTGCTTATAATCGTTCTTTTTATTGCATGAAAAAAGAGCCGTAAGAACTATTTCTTCACAAAGCAAGCAAGCCTTGGGAAATAACAAGTTTTTCCGCCTCACAACAATTTTGAGGATGCAGAGTTCAACAAAAAGATCGCAGATGCCAGGTTCTATAGCATTCTTTGTGAGATGTTATTGTAGTTTAGTGATATATATGTAAGGAATCCATCTGCACTCAGGCCAAAACGTATAAAACTGACATTATTTGTGAAAGAAATATATTATTTTTTACTCGTTTAAGAAAAGCTGACTCTTTTTAAGTAATTATCATTGTTCATTTGAGTGATTCTCATCAAACAAAGAGAGTTACACAGGAAAAATTACTGTCACATATGATAAAATAATATAAAATTTTAAAATAGGCCTTTCAAACTTTTGACATTCTTCCTTCATAATTGTATTTTTTTTCTTATGAGATGACTTTAACTTTTTTCGTGGCTTAAATATATTAGAGTAATATGATTATTAAAAAATAAATACATCTAAAGTCGTGCTAATTGGACTATTATATGTAATGGATGAAAGAATATCGCTGAATAAGCTGAGTGATTTGTAGTTTAGGTGTGACGATTAGTGTAAAGAAAATATTGTTAGCACTTAGCATTAAATGGGTATTAAAGTAAATAATCAATATTTATTTTTATTAGATAAATCAAGATTTGATACTTATTGTAAAAAATTTTGTTTTGTAAATTGTAACTTTATAGATCCTAATTATGCAATTTTTTGTGAGGAGAATTGTGAGAGAGTTGCATATCAGCTTTTACTCTAAAAAATGTTTTAACTTTGTTTTTATAAAAACACTTATAATTATTTTAGCATATTAGAAAAGGAAAGCCCATGGCTTAACAAACAACAAAAAGCCCACTAATCTAAGCTGTGCATTTTGATTAAGTAATTTCAATTTTTCTTGCAACATATTTCCTTTTTTCAAAACACAAAACGTGAGAATTTCCTTTTTTTTCCTTTTTATAATAAAACCAAACTTAACAATTTCCTTTTTTCGTAGTAAAACCAAATTTAAGAATTTCCTTTTTTCTTTATAACGTTAATTACTAAACGTAAGAATTTCCTTTTTTCAAACTTAACAATTTCCTTTTTTTCCTTTTCATATAAAAAATTTAGAAAAAGGAAAATTTCCATTGTTTTAGTTTGTTCTCTGTTTATAAATAGAGACAGATTGCTCTCACTTTATTCATCTTTGAGAAATCAAAATTAAAACACATTCTCCTCAGAGAGTGAGAGACAGAGCCGAGAGAGATAGAGCGTTCGATTCTAATGGCGACGAGAGGGAAAACATAGATGAGCGCGTTGAGGTGTCTTCTCGTGTTCTTCTTCTTACCCTATGATACGATTTGATTTTCGTGTGAATGTTTTTGCTTTTGAAATAAAGAGTTTCTTTCTCACAGGTTTCATGGCGACGAGATAACTTTCGATTCTAATGGCGACGAGATAGCAAAACGAGTCAGATATATCTTTCTAACCCTATGAATCGATTTCGCTTTTGAAATAATTTTTTCGTATTTGTATTACTGGTTAACGGGTTTGTTGTCTCTTTGGCTGAATCGAAACAGGTGTATGTTCGTGTTCAAACTCGGATGTTTACAAGGACAAAGGTGATTCAGAACAAAAACGGTAGTCGGCTTTCTTACAGTAAGTAACAACATCAAACTTATCGATGAGAAGGTAATCTAGGTCTTTCTTTCCTTGTCTACTTCCATAAAAGAGACTCGAACTTGCTTCTTAATGGGTTTGTTTGTTTGTTTTTTTTCTTTTGGGTGAAACAGGTGTGTGTTCGTGTTACTCAGATTAATGTTTTGAAAGATGATGAAGTAGAGTAATGTGTTCTTACAGTAACAACATCAAACTGATCGATTAAAAGGTATAGATAGGTCTTTGTCTTGACTCTGCACCTCCTCTTCTCTTGTTCGTTTCCTCAAATTTGCGGTTATCTTTGTTTTCAATTTTAGATGGGATGGGAATGTGACTATGTTATTTTAATTTAGACTTCTAATTGTATATTCTTGTGCAGATATGATATGGTTTGAAGAATGAAGAAGATTCAGAACAAAAGGTGGTGTTGATGTTTTGCCTTTGAAATAAGAGTTTGTTTTTGTATATGGGATCTTAATTAATGCGTTCGTTGTTTCTTTTTTGGGTGAAACGAAACAGGTGTGTGTTTGTGTTCGTGTTCCAACTATGACGATGACTCAGATTTTTTCAAGGAAAAACAAAGTAGATTCAGAACACAAAAAGGTCGTCGACGTGTTCTTACAGTAACAACATCTTGTTTGCTTCCTCGAATTTGTTTTCGTTTACACTGTTGTTTTAACAAAGCTTATCCAATATTATATTTTTGTGCAGATCGAAGATATGTAATGTTTTGAAGAATGAAGAAGATTCATAACCAAACAAAAACAAACTTCACCCTACGGTAACAACGTCAATTTGATATTTTTTCATTGTTTTCTTTGTTGCTTCTTTAGATGATGCAGATATACATATAGTTCACTTCTTCACATGTATAATTCTAGGGATGACCTGGCCAAGTCAACAACAACAACAACAACAATGGGACAAATCCTCTGTAAGTAAGCACTTATTATGATTTTATTTGTCTGTTTCAAGTTGGATCACTTAACCAATAATACTCTCTTTTCTTTTTCTTTTGTGTGTTATATAACTTATCACCCTCAGATTTCCTTCTCTACTCTCAGAATCCAGGCATTGTTGATGAATATTATATGTTGGAAGTATTGTTTTCGTGTCTCTCAGTGATGGATATTCAGAGGACATGGCGTTTCTTCTTCAACTCTCATCGGACTTGACGAGAAACTCCACAATGAAAAAGGTAAAGTTTTGGGGGTTTACAGTGTGTTTCTTCAATCTCATCTGAATTCTTTTGAATATTGTTTTGTATACATGATCTTGATGATGGAGAATTTTTTGTTTTGTTGTATACATGATTCACTTTCTTCTCATTATTATTACAAGGGATGCTGTTGAATTATGGACCCAATCGATGGAGATATATGCAGTAAGTCATCTCAAATTCCTCTATACTCTTCTTTATTTTCTTCTGTTTCAAGTTTATGTATCTCCATTAACCAATCTCTTTCTGTTTTTGTTTTTGTGTTTGTTGAACAGCAAGTTGTTATTGAAGTGGAACTCGACAAGGCACCAAAATTCAAAGCAAAACTTGTGAACGAAATGGTACTTGTCATTGCCTCATGCCAACCATTTTCCTTTCCACATGTTAGAAACAATGGAGGTACTCTCTAATACCTCTTAACTTTTCTCTTTTTTGATTAACTTCTAGGATGGTAATGTTTTCTTAAAAGCGGGTTCTTAAGGAGATAAGTCAATGGACCTTAAGAAGCTGCAAACTGCTAGAAAGATGGTTAATCTACTGATGAACCCATATGTACTCAGGCCAAAACACGTTACAGATGTCTCAAGCCAACAGAACATGCTGAAAAGGTAGCTCACATTCTTAATTAATAACCACTATGATATCCCAATCTGGTTTCACCTTCCTCTTGTGCGTTTATTTCCTCATTGCAGCGAAAAGAGTGTCAAAACATAGCTAGCTCTACCAATCTGAATTAGGAAAATATAAACTAGAGGTACTCTCTGATTCCACAGGTAATAAACTACCAAGGTACTCTCCAATTCCTTTGAACTTTTCTTATATTTTTTCTTTTTTGGGTGAAACGAAACAGGTGTGTGTTCGTGTTCCAACTTCAAGCTAGGACGATGACTCAGAGTTTTTCAAAGAAGTACAAAGTAGATTCAGAACAAACCGGTCAACGGCGTGTTCTTATAGTTACAACAGCAAACTGATTGGTTAAAAGGTATATATAGGTTTTCTTGTCCGCTTCCTCCAGTCTTCTTTTGTTTCAATTTAAGATGAGAATGTGACTGCGATTTTGTTTTCACTGAGGTTGTTTTTTAAACAAAGTTTCTTCTAATTTAATAATTTTGTGCAGATCGGAGATATGCTATGTTTCGAAGAATGAAAAAGATTCAGAACAAAACAAAAACAAATTTCCCCTTACGGTAACAATGTCAAACTGAGATTTTTTCGTTTACACTGTTGTTTTAACAAAGCTTATCCAATATTATATTTTTGTGCAGATCGAAGATATGTAATGTTTTGAAGAATGAAGAAGATTCAGAACCAAACAAAAACAATTTTCTCCTTACGGTAACAACTTTAAACTGATATTTTTTCATTGTTTTCTTTGTTGTTTCTCTAGATGAGGGAGATATACATATAGTTCACTCTTTCTTCACATGTATAATTCTAGGGATGACCTGGCCAAGTCAACAACAATGGGGAAAATCCTATGTCACTGTAAGTAAACTCTTATTAAGATCTTATTATGATTTTTCCTTCTGTTTCAAGTTTTATCACTAATCAATAATAATGATCTCTTTTTTCCTTTCTTTTGTGTGTTATATATGTTATCACCTTCACCTTCTCTTTTCTACTCTCAGAATCCAAGCATTGTTGATGAATAGTATATGTTGGAAGTATTGTTTTCGTGTCTTTTCAAGTGATGGATGTTCAGAGGACATAGCGTTTCTTCTTCAACTTTCATCTGATTTGACGAGAAAGTCCACAAAGAAAAAGGTAAAAAAATCTTGGGGTTTACTCTGTGTTTCTTCAACTCTCTCATCTGAATGTTTTGCTTTCTTAAATATAATTTTTGTTTGCATATATGATCTTGATGGTGATGGAGATTTTTTGGTTTTGTTGTTGCTGCTTCTCTAGATGATGGAGATATATGGAGATTTACTTTCTTCTCATAATTATTATTAGGGATGATGCTGAATTATGGACCCAATCGATGAAGATATATGTTGTAAGTCATCTCAAATTCTTCTCTGTGTTTCTATATTTTCTTTAGTTTCAAGTTTATCCATTTCCCTCAACCAATATTTTGTTTGTTTTTGTGTTTGTTGAACAACAAGTTGCTATTGAAGTGGAACTCGACAAGGCACCAGAATTCAAAGCAAAAATTGTGAACAAAAAGGTACTTGTCATTGCCTCATGTCAGTAATTCCATTATGCAGGCAATAAACAATTGAGGTACCCTCTGATTCCTTTTAAATTTTCAATTATCTTTTCTTTTTTTTTGATTAACTTCCAAGATATGCTGTTTTCCTAGCAGCTGTTGCTCAAGGAGATAAGTCATTGGTCTTTAAGAAGCTGCAAACTGCTAGAAAGATGGTTAATCACTTAATCTGCTTAGGAATCCGTCTGCACTCAAGCTAATAAACCAGTCACAACTTTCTCAAGCCAAAGGCAGTCATCAGAAAATTGTGAAAAGGTAGCTCATATTCTTAATTAATAACCATTGTGATACGTTCCTATTGTAATAGTGTTTTTTTTTTGTGCGTTTATCACTGCTAGCTCTACCAAAACTGATTCAAAAAAATAAAGCTATCAAAAGGCAAAGCTAGATGATAAACTATTAAAGTACTCTCTGATTCCTTTTAACTTTTCTATTTTTTTTTCTTTTTTGGGTGAAACGAAACAGGTGTTTCTGTGTTCGTCTTCCAACTAGGATGATAACTCAGATTTTTTGAAGGACGTACGAAGTAGATTCAAAACAAAAACGGGGGCTGGTGTGTTCTTACAATAACAACATCAAACTGATTGGTTAAAAGGTATAGTCAGGTTGTCTCGTCCTCTCCCTCGATTTTATTTTTTTTCAATTTTATATGGGAATGTGACTGAGATTTTGTTTTCACTAAGACTAACAGTTTTAACGACGTTTTTTCTAATGCTATATTTTGTGCAGATAGGAGATCTGCTATGTTTTGAAGAAGGAAGGAGATCCAGAACCAAACAAAGACGAATTTCGCCTTACGGTAACAACGTCAGTTTTTCATTGTTTTCTTTGTTGCTTCTCTAGATGATAGATACATATAGTTCACTCTTTCTTCGCATGCATAATTTTAGGGATGACCGGCCCAAGTAAAAAACAACAACAATGGAAAATATCATCTGTAAGTAAACACTTATTAAGATCCTTATTAT